CATGCGTGAGCGTGTTTGATAGGAGTGAATGGAGACAAATGGTTTTTTAATACTTGACGTGCTGTTGGAGTGTGAGCAAAGTAACATTTATGAAGGGATTCAGGGAAACCGGCAGGCCGGACTTGAGTCCTGGAGATGGGAAGTACAGTGCCTGCACTCTGAAGGAGGGGTGTTAATCTTGCAGTTTAAAAACTGTAGTGTAAAGCACCCTTCTGGCAAGACAGTGATGGAGTGAATGATGGTGAAAGTTTTTTCTTTTTCGGGCCACCCTGCCTTGGTGGGAATCGGCCGGTGTGATAATAAAAAATAAATTATATATATATATATATATATATATATATATATATATATATATATATATATATATATATATATATATATATATATATATATATAATCTCACGCCCCAGCTCTGAAGAGCTGGATGAGATTTTCGCCTTCTAATCGGTGATACACACGTAACAACATGTACCTTATATGCCACCTTTATATCAACAATGTATCTCTTAAATCTTCTGTACCATATTATGTAATAAAATATTCCTATTGGTAAAAAAAATATATATTAAAAGATGGGGTAGTAGGGGAAGTGGAATATTCAAACGGCTTCAGGAAGAAATCCAAATATTCTTCCTTGAAGCCTTTTTATCCACTTCTCCGAGGCTGTGGGTCCCACAATTTACACCAGAGGTGGACCCATCCTATATATATATATATATATATATATATATATATTTATATATATATTAAAATATATATATATAATATATATATATATATATTATATATATATAATGCGAGATTTATCTACCAGTATATATATATGGCTTATACGTTTATATACATTGTGGAGTGGACAGCTTGGGATATATGGATGGTAAAGCGTGAATCTTATGTATTGTACATACACAGAATTTATTTTAATTAATCCCCTAAAACAGGCATTTCAAGTATTCCTAACGTTAGTACACACATGAAATGTAGTTTTAATGATCCACATACAGTTAATAGGCTTTAAACCTTAACTAAGTTAAATAACTTACGCTAGAATAGTACTAAATACCATAGTATCGCCTCCTTAATTAAAATTGTGATAACGTACTGGGTTTTGGCTTATAGTGAACTGCATAACCTTTATCTTCAGTGCTTGCATGTGTAAATACTGAACTGCGTGACACTAAACCTTAAACTCTGAACTTTATGTAATATTGAACGTCACGATACTGAATGTACTCGCCTAGTTGTGGTTGCAGGGGTCGAGTACAGCGTTTGTGTGTATGTACTCACCTATTTGTGTTTGCAGGGGTCGAAGCATACCTCCTGGCCCCGCCTCTTCACTGATCGTTACTAGGTCCTCTCTCTCCCTGTTCCATGAGCTTTATCATGCCTCGTCTTAAAACTTTGTATGGTTCCTGCCTCCACTACGTCACTTGCAAGACTATTCCACTTCCTGACAACTCTATAACTAAAGAAATACTTCCTAACATCTCTTTGACTCCTGTGAGTCTTCAACTTCCAATTGTGACCCCTTGTTTCTGTGTCCCGTCTCTGGAACATCCTACCTCTGTCCACCTTGTCAATTTCAAGCAGTATTTTGTATGTCGTTATCATGTCTCCCCTGACCCTCCTGTCCTCAAGTGTCGTCAGGCCGATTTCACTTAACCTTTCTTCGTAGGACATTCCCCTTAGCGCTGGAACTAGCAAACCTTTGCACCTTTTCTAATTTCTTGACGTGCTTGACCAGGTGTGGGTTCCAAACTGGTGCTGCGTGTGGGTGAGTCTGTGTGGGTGGGAATGTGTGTGTGGAACTATGTCAGTGTGGGTTTATTGAGTATGTGAAAAGTAGTGGGTAGGAGTGTGTATTAGGGTGTGAGTGTAGTGCAGTTTGTGTTATACGTGGTCTGCAGTGTCCTCTGACCTGCTCTGACACACAGCCCCCTGCTAGGTTATACCTTCTATGCTTATCCTTCTTCCTAGTCTAATATACACATGTCTGTCCACCCTGCTTCTGTTTTAAATTACCAGTTTCTATTCGTTATTTAGTACTTATTAGTCTATTATTTGTGGTTGCAGGGACCGAGCCGCAGCTCCTGGCCTCGCCTCTTCGCTGATTGCTACTGGGTCCATTCTCTCCCTGCTTCAAGAACTTTATCTATCTCTTCCTCCACTACATCACTCTCCAGATTGTTCTACTTCCTGACAACTACGAAGAAATAATTCTTTACATCCCTGTGACTCATCTGAGTTTTCAACTTCTAGTTTAATTTACGTATTTTAGCTAAAAAATGAGGTCAGAACATGCTTCACACCGCTCTGAAACGTTGAAATATGCAATAAGAATAGCTGTACATTGTTTATATACTTAGGATTGTTTAATATATTTGATTGTCACCTTCAGCTGGTTGGGAAATACCGTGGAGTGTTTATGACTCTCTCTCCCACGTACGGTACCGTCTTAGCTTTTAATGGCAAGGATATTTCCGCATTCTTCCAAATTTCATCCTGTATATGATCCTTAGGAACTGAGCCTTTTCAAGGGCATGTGAAATAGTTTCCATTAGATCATAATTTATCTAATGTCTGGGCACATTGTAGTCGATAGGCTTCAAACCTAGCCTAACCTTACACTCATGGTATTTTTTGTTTCGTGCTATTTCAGTGTTTAATAATTCAGAAAACATCCCGTCAACACAGCTTTCTTCAGCCTTAATTAATGTAACTGTGTTGCAATAAGTGTCCAGCAAGATATAAATTAAAGAGTAAGACTACTCTTAAGTTTATATATATATATATATATATATATATATATATATATATATATATATATATATATATATATATATGCAATAAGATCACAGTAAACAGGTGATTTCAAAATATGCAAAACAACCACTCTGAAAGAATAGAGAAATTCCAAGCGCTTTCGTGACTACTCACATTATCAAGGAACGAAAGCGCTTGGAATTTCTCTATTCTTTCAGAGTGGTTGTTTTGCATATATATATAATTATATATATATATATATATATATATATATTATATATATATATATATATTAAATATATATATATATATAAATAACAGCATTGAAACCACGAAACATGTGGTTTTGAATCATTTACCAAACTGCGGCAGGCCAGGATTCGACCCCACGACACACTGTCCTGCCTGAAGAGGCCATACAACGTACATGTCACCTTATCCACTTCATCGATCCTACAAAGATCACGTACCCAGCAGAGCTGGCGCTTCTCGTCATCCGAGGACACTCGTGGCAGTGGTATGCTCAAGGACTAATTTCAGCCGCCTCCTCCTCCTCCTCCTTGAGCATACCACTGCCACGAGTGTCCTCGGATCACGAAAAACACCCACCTCTGCTTGGTACGTGATCTTCGTAGGATCGATGGCTGAGTGGATAAGGTGACATGTACGTTGTGTTGTCTCTTGAGGCAGGACAATGTGTCGTGGGGTCGAACCCTGGCCTGCCGCAGATACTAGTCATAATATTAGAATCCTGTGTCAGGATACACTTGTCGCGTTTCCTGACGAGACAAGCACAACTCCGCTAGCATCGCCAGCTTAGTTACAGTTGTGTATTTTGTTTTTTTTAATTTACGTTAAAAGCTAAACCCATATGGGTTATTCAGCGCAAGACGGCTTGATCCTCCGTCTGTTCCACAGTTGTGTACGTGTAGTCAAATATTAGTATATTTGCGTTAGAACAAGTTACAATAATTCAACGTATCATTATTTAATTACATCATTTGCAAAGCACGTAACATTGTTACAAATGTTAGGCTTAAAGCATGGTTCTTTAACATTATTGTCAGTTATAGCATTACAAACACATTACTGTCTGCATGGATCATAACTCCCCTCCCACACCTACTCATCATCCTCTCCCACCGCGCCTCTCATGCACTCTAGTGATGTATGTGTTCCTGTAGGCCATGCTAGGAATGAAAGTATGTGGAGGTATTCCGCATAATTTAGTGTGTGGGTGAATATTTTCCATGTGGTTTATACCTCTGACTCATAGCTCATCAGTAGAGGGTTTGGCTAATAACCGAGAGTGCCTGGATTCAGTCCCGTGGCGAGGCAAGGCGTATGGACAAGTCTTATACTTGATTTCCCCGTTCACCAAGTATCAAGTTGTTGTGGATCGCATCTTGAGGTAGACTAAGGATCTCAACGGCAATAAGGTACACTGCTTAGCTTTCTTTGGTTATCCCGAGTTTGTAACCCTCATGAGATAATCCAAAGAAAGACTACTTTATATTGCCTGTTCTTAACACACTTTCCAATGCACTGGTGAAACTGGCCGCTCTCTTTCCGACATTTTTAAAGAATACAAGAGAAATGTTACAGCCATTTTTTTTTCTGGTATGTTAGGGGAATACTGAAATCTGATTAATCGGTGACCCTGAATAAACCATACCACGGGCGGGATTTGAGTCATGTTAACGACCCTGAATAGTTCCATAAATATTACCATGCTCACACTCGAATAACTCGTCAAATCTTAGAAACCATTCGTTTTCAGTTCGATTTGGAGGCCACATATACCTGCTGGACTTTGAATCCTCTACCTTTCATTACCGGGCCGTGGGGCGATGATCCTTAAAATATACATATCAGACAGAAATGTTTGACCATGTCCTGCCACTAGAGTCACAAAACTTAAAAGATAGACAGCTTATAACTTACAAAATAAGGCATATACTACTCGTTAATTTTGAAGTGTTTTAGCTAAAAGCCATTTGGAAGATGTATGGTCCAAGTGTGCGGATTTTAAAATTACATACATTGACAAAACTAAAAGTGTATTTAGTTTATGACATGGCCTAAAAGAAAACCTTAACAGTTTTAAAGAGATCTGGTATGACTATACTGACCAAAAACTACCCTCCCCCCCCCCTCCCTTCCAATAAAAAAATTATTCTGAAATCGGTAACTTAGGTCTGCAAAAAATAACATTGTCAGTACACAATATATCTCCTTATGATAGGCGAAAATGCAACAAAACTAAACAATTCACGTAACGGACAGAATGCCTGCTGACTTGCTATGAGTTCGAATCTTGTCCGTTCCGTGAGTTACCTCTTCAGAACAGCTTGCCTCGTTGTTTTGATGTTTTGAGTATTTTACTGCATAAATATTTTTGCATTGGTTGAGGTCCAGCTGCGGGTTTCTTGATGGTGCTTATCTATAGATCCTGGACTTCTTGTGAAGATTTATAGCTCAACTGTCTCTTAAAGAGAGCTGAGCTGCAGATCACCTGCATCTTAAGAGGTTTTGGGGTACGGCTAGTAGGCCTCATGGATGAGTTGCAATAGAGGGGGCTGGGGTTTGTCTTACGGGAGATATCTCTTTGAGAGTGACCAAAACACTTCTAGTTTAAATTACTTTTCTAAACAACTACTAGGAGGCTCTTATTAGTAGCAAATTATGCCCTATTGTTTACAAAGCATATTAACTTTTGTTTTGTTTCTTCCTACAGTTGGTGATCGCTGAGTGAGACTGTGCAAGTGGCTGGGAATCAATCAGCCAATATCTGTAGCCTCCTAATTCATCCAGCCTGTTCCACTACACAACACCTGCAGCCATGGTGAAATACGAAGAAGAGGAGACCTACAGCTTCCGTCTGTCTCACCTGGATGATGGAATCTACTCCGACACCAGCACCATCTCATCTACACATAAACAACGTATCGACTCACTCTTCAGGGACAAGAGAAGGCAGGACAAATTGCACCCTGATCCTGTGCCCCTTTGGCTCCCTCCCGAGCCTTTTCGGCCTGACCCCATGCCTCTGCCGGCCAACCCAGTGCAGGAGGAACTGGAGCGCATGTTTGGGGGTCGGGACCAACGACAGAGAGCCTTCCTGGATGTGCGTGCCACTGTCCAGGCACAGATTGAGAGGTTGTTTGCTGATGCCACCAGTGAGCCCATACTGGGGACTCACGCCCCACCCCCTCGCTCACCGCCAGCCCCATGCGTGTTAGACCCTCCACCGCTTGCAGCCCCTTCCCCACCGCAGCACCAGCAATCCCACACTCCTTCCCCTACCGCTAACAGTTGCGCCAGTCGGCCCAGAAGTGGAGTCAGTCCAGAGGAGTCGCTCGAGGCGGCGACACCACGAGTGTGTGTCTCCAGCATGAAGTACCGTGTGGATTATTTAGGAGCGTTGCAGCTGGCCGAGAAAGCCACCAGTCTGGATGTGCTGCAGACACCACTCAAAGACCTTTACTACAAATACCGTCTGTGTGTTTCCCGGGGCAAGCGGCCAGTGTCGGGAACGCTGCAAATTACCGAAGCCGGGCTCAAGATTACTCATGGCAGCGTAGACTCCTGTGATGGCCATTTAGAGTTTACTAACCCATTCCCGACTATTGCGGTATGGGCGGCGGTGAAGCTGGTGATCCGCAAGGAGATGTCAGAACAAGGCCAAGTTGGGTACTCGTACGCCTTCCTTCCACTCATTTGTGACCCGGAGGCACAGGACAAGTACAATCTTTATCACGCACTCAACGTACCAGAGCCTAGCGTCATGACCATCCAGCACCCGCCTATGTTCGCCTGCGTCATGAGGAAGGTGGGTGTTCCCAAAGTGCTCGAGTGCCATGGCTTCGTGTGTCAGTCGTCTGAGGATGCCATCGTGATGGCTGCTAACTTGTACCAGGCACTGCTGGAAAACATGAGAAGTGAGGCACCGAGCGAGGCCTCTAGTGACACTCGGGAGGACGACCGACACGTCATGAGTGACAGTGAAATGGTGCCAGTTAGACCGCCTCGAAAGAAGCGCTCACGTCGCTCAGAATCCCCGAATTTTGGACAGGGACTGCGGCGTGCTAGCAGTGAAGATATCCTAAAGTCACACATTATTGTGGATGACTCCCGAACCAGCAAACGACGACTAAAACGTTCCATTAGTGAGCGTCACCCGGGCGCCTTCCTGCTAGATCCCGGTGATGTGTACACCAGAGTGGCGCTACCTCGCTCCAAGTCTTTCATGAACGTCACTAATAAGTACAATTTCCATGACCTCTTGGATGACGTCAAACAGAAGACGGGCCTAAAGAGTGTGGATGAGGTGCTGAAACAAGTGATAAATCCGCGTGGAATGTCGTTTAGCGAGATGGATCCCGACCAACGAGAGATTCTTTTGAAGCTGGCTCTAACATTGTCCAAGGACGAGATCTACCAGCGGTCTAAGAACATCATGAGACAACAAACTCGAGGCCGCAGTTCCTCTCTCATGAGCCTCATGGATTCTGATAGTGACGGATCCACCATCTCCTCAGTTTTGAAGGCCACCAAACGATCATTTTCGCGATTGGGCTCCCGCGCCTCTAGCCTACAGTCAAGCTATCTGAAGGACAAGTCACCACTCAGAAAGTTGGTCAACAACAAAAACCGCTATATGTTTGAGAAGGGACGCAACAACAGTGCTGCGAGACGGGCAGACAATAAAGAGAACGAGTTCACTCACATGCTAGAGGTCAGTGGGAGGAAAGTGGCACCTAAAACGCCAATGCCTCGACGAAATTCGTCCCAAGCCAACGAAGGCTATTTGTCGTGTAGCGAGTGTGGTTACGACAGTGAATGTTCCAGCAAGTGTTACTGCTCTCTACCCCGGCGAGCCTCATCGACCAAGCCAAACGACAAACATAAAGACCACGACTCCCCGTGTGACTGTGACACTGAAAGCTGTGCTGAGAGTGAGAAATGTTACTGTTCTCTCAAACGGGTCAAGAAGAACGGCCTGAAGATGTATGAAATTAACCTAGACTCTGAGACCGACACCAACGCCACGATGAAGAGCATCGCCTCCTACAAGAAAGGCTACGGGTCACACTCCAACCTCAGTGAACTGGAGTCGCATCCAACTTCGTGGAAGCGAAACACTGGTGGGTCGTCTACCAGCACCACACAAAACAAGAGCTCTTCCTTGTACCTGACCGAACAAAGTAAGAGTCGATCTGCAGGCACTGTCTTCTCCTTGCACCCGGATGTCATGAGGAAGAAAAGTCTGTCGTCGAATTTATCGACCGACTCCGAGATCTCTGCGATGCATCGATCATCAGACGGGTCCGGATACCACAGCCAGGACAGCGGGCGACGTCAGGTTCCACCTCATCAGAGGGCAGCAAGTACCGAGTCTCTCCTCTCGTCTCCCAGACTTCGACGGCATCCTTCAGGGTCCCTTGGATCGGGGGGCTCCAGGGGATCACAGGTGTCGTCACAAGGGAGCGGCAGTGGGATAGGGACACATCGCTCACAAGGTTCTAGGGGCTCCGGATCTTCTAACCAGAAGATTCTGTTGGTATCAGCAGTGGACCCCAGTGGGAAGGTGGTGTACCGCGGGGCATCACAACGCCAGAAGAGGGATGACAGTGACACTGCTTCCATCCTTTCAATGAAGAAGACGGCCGAGATTGCTGCCCTTTTCTCAGAGCTTAAACTTAGCCAGACGACCGACCTTATCAACCATCTCAACCAGTCAGCGTCGGAGTCTGAAGACGATGCGTATTCCTCCATGCAAGCCAATAATTCCTTCCTCTTCTCAGACAACATCGAAAACTCACTGGGTTACTTGCCGTGAGGGGTGGTAAGCACCGCATGACAGATGGCACTCCTGATAGTGACGCATGCCGCAGTGCAACAGTTGGCAGGGTGACCGCCCCTCCAACCCACATCACACTACACCCAACCCACGCCTCCCTCTCTGGCTGTACCATACGCTCCTACCAATCACGCCCACAACTCACAAATTGGAGATGAAACTAGATAACGTTTCTGTCTGTCCTAGAACATTATCAAGTAGTTATTGATAGCGTGCATAGTACTGAAATTAGGAACGTTACTAATTATCAATGATTCCCTAAGTTACCTGGCGATATATTGTTGCATCCCTTCAGTATTTAGCATCACTGAAATTAATTTTATGAATATCTATACCTGACCTTCCGAAATTCATTATAATTGTTCCACATACAGGGTATCTATGCTGAATATCTACGCCTTTCGAACCAACATGAAGCAAATGTCGTCTTTTGCTATATATAAAATTTGTGGGTTGTGAATTATTCCAGCAACGGTAGTGAAATTAATTGTACAATGCAAGTTGCTTATATACATACAGCTGACACTACAGTGAAACGCCAGTGACTAAGGCCTAGTGACAGGGTCATTGTTCCCGCTCAGCCTTTCAGAGGCTACAGTGAGAGGTAGTTAAGTGGGCAGTGATGATTCTTAAGTCATCGTCAGTGATGGGAAGGTATCGTGTGATGATGCTACGTGTCATTATATTTTTAGATTAGTCCCCCTCCCGTCCAGGCTTCACCTCACACTCCCCCCACCGCCATAAATGTCAGTGTTTACAAAAAAAATTGTATTAGCTTGTATATTCATAAAAAATGTATAAAGTACCTTATTTCTAATATTTTACAATATACTATTATTGAGAATAACGAAAATATTATGAAACAAAATATTCATCCCAAGTTTATTTAGCAAATGATCAAGTTAACAAATGATCAAGTTAACAAGTGATCAAGTTAACAAGTGATCAAGTTAAATGATCAAGTTAACAAGTGATCAAGTTAACAAGTGGTCAAGTTAACAAGTGGTCAAGTTAACAAGTGATCAAGTTAACCAATGATCAAGTTAACAAGTGATCAAGTTAACAAGTGATCAAGTTAACATGATCAAGTTAACAAATGATAAGTTTAACAAGTGATCAAGTTAAGTGATTTATTAAAAATGATCAAGTTAATAATGATCAAGTAACAAGTGATTTAGTTAAATGATCAAGTTAACAAGTGATCAAGTTAACAAATGATCAAGTTAACAAGTGATCAAGTTAACAAATGATCAAGTTAACAAGTGATCAAGTTAACAAATGATCAAGTTAACAATGATCAGTTAACAAGATCAAGTTAACAAGTGATCAAGTTAACAATGATCAAGTTAAATGATCAAGTTAACAAGTGATCAAGTTAACAGTGATCAAGTTAACAAATGATCAAGTTAACAAGTGATCAAGTTAAATGATCAAGTTAACAATGATCAAGTTAACAAGTGATCAAGTTAAATGATCAAGTTAACAAGTGATCAAGTTAGCAAGTGATCAAGTTAAATGATCAAGTTAACAAATGATCAAGTTATCAAGTGATCAAGTTAAATGATCAAGTTAACAAGTGATCAAGTTAACAAGTGATCAAGTTAAATGATCAAGTTAACAATGATCAAGTTAACAAATGATCAAGTTAACAAATGATCAAGTTAACAAATGATCAAGTTAACAAATGATCAAGTTAACAAGTGATCAAGTTAACAAATGATCAAGTTAACAAATGATCAAGTTAACAAATGATCAAGTTAACAAGTGATCAAGTTAAATGATCAAGTTAACAAATGACCAAGTTAACAAATGATCAAGTTAACAATGTGATCAAGTTAACAAATGATCAAGTTAACATGTGATCAAGTTAACAAGTGATCAAGTTAACAATGATAAGTCAAAAGTATAAGTACAAGTGATCAAGTTAACAAGTGATCAAGTTAACAAGTGATCAAGTTAACAAGTGATCAAGTTAACAAGTGATCAAGTTAACAAGTGATCAAGTTAACAAGTGATCAAGTTAAGTGATCAAGTTAACAAGTGATCAAGTTAACAAGTGATCAAGTTAACAATGATCAAGTTAACAAATGATCAAGTTAACAAGTGATCAAGTTACAGATCAAGTAAGTGATCAAGTTAACAAGTGATCAAGTTAACAAGTGATCAAGTTAACAAGTGATCAAGTTAACAAGTGATCAAGTTAACAAGTGATCAAGTTAACAAGTGATCAAGTTAGCAAGTGATCAAGTTAAGCAAGTGATCAAGTTAACAAGTGATCAAGTTAACAAGTGATCAAGTTAACAAGTGATCAAGTTAACAAGTGATCAAGTTAACAAGTGATCAAGTTAAGCAAGTGATCAAGTGATCAAGTTAACAAGTGATCAAGTTAACAAGTGATCAAGTTAACAAGTGATCAAGTTAACAAACAGTAATCTTTGTAAATATTAAGACAGTATTGATAATTCTGCTAACAAACACTGTGTTTCAGACTTGTGTATAATTTTTGCATGTATATTCCTTGTTTTAACTGTTGTTTATTCCTATTATATAATTTATTACATAGTTTATTAATGTTCTCAGTATAAACATATTTTATTCCATGTTCTCCGAATATTAAATATTTTTACGCTATTCAGATTCTTTATTTTAAACCATTATATATATATGTGTGTGTCTCTTGTCATATTCAGCTATGCCATGTCTCTTGTCATATTCAGCTATGCCATGTCTCTTGTCATATTCAGCTATGCCATGTCTCTTGTCATATTCAGCTATGTCATGTCTGTCATATTCAGCTATGTTATGTCTTGTCATATTCAGCTATGTTATGTCTCTTGTCATATTCAGCTATGTTATGTCTCTTGTTATATTCAGCTATGTTATGTCTCTTGTCATATTCAGCTATGTTATGTCTCTTGTCATATTCAGCTATGTTATGTCTCTTGTCATATTCAGCTATGTTTATGTCTCTTGTCATATTCAGCTATGTTATGTCTTGTCATATTTAGCTATGTCATGTTTCTTGTCATATTCAGTTATGTCATGTCTCTTGTCATATTCAGCTATGTCATGTTCTTGTCATATTCAGCTTTTGTCATGTCTCTTGTCATATTCAGCTATGTCATGTTTCTTGTCATATTCAGTTATGTCATGTGTCTTGTCATATTCAGCTATGTCATGTCTCTTGTCATATTCAGCTATGTCATGTTTCTTGTCATATTCAGCTATGTCAAGTTTCTTGTCATATTCAGCTATGTCATGTTTCTTGTCATATTCAGCTATGTCATGTTTCTTGTCATATTCAGCTATGTCATGTTTCTCGTCATATTCAGCTATGTCATGTCTCTCGTCATATTCAGCTATGTTATGTCTCTCGTCATATTCAGCTATGTTATGTCTCTCGTCATATTCAGCTATGTTATGTCTCTTGTCATATTCAGCTATGTTATGTCTCTTGTCATATTCAGCTATGTTATGTCTCTTGTCATATTCAGCTATGTCATGTCTCTTGTCATATTCAGCTATGTCATGTCTCTTGTCATATTCAGCTATGTTATGTCTCTTGTCATATTCAGCTATGTCATGTTTCTTGTCATATTCAGCTATGTCATGTTTCTTGTCATATTCAGCTATGTCATGTTTCTTGTCATATTCAGTTATGTCATGTTTCTTGTCATATTCAGCTATGTCATGTTTCTTGTCATATTCAGCTGTCATGTTTGCTGTCATATTCAGCTATGTCATGTCTCTTGTCATATTCAGTTGTCATGTTTCTTGTCATATTCAGTTATGTCATATTTCTTGTCATATTCAGCTATGTTATGTTTCTTGTCATGTTCAGCTATGTCATGTTTCTTGTCATATTCAGCTATGTCATGTTTCTTGTCATTTTCAGCTAATGTCATGTTTCTTGTCACTCACGTCATTTCAGTTAATAACATTGGGTTCCACAGTTTCTGTTAGGTAAGGTTCGTCAGGAAACAGAATAAATGTTTCCTGACGCGGGTCTCAGTCAGATGATGACCCGCCTTTGGAGCTTTGGTCATCTGACCGAGGCCTTCCGCTGGCTTACCGGTCCACCCCTTTAAAAATTATGGTCATTTATAACCATATTTTTATATATATATACAGTTTCTGTATCACTCCAGGTATGTCATCTCATTCTTATAATAATTTACTTTGATCATAATTACCGTATGCAACTAATTAGTTTATATTCAGTTTTGTCTGTATTTTTGCATTTATACAAGTGTTGCAATAGTTATATTAATATCTGATAAAATTTGCTTGTAAATTTCAGTAGCTTAGTAACTCTCCCAAACATATATCTAACTCTTAGGGTAACTCCATTTTTTTGTTTTTGAGTCAAGAAAATCCTATGAACTGCAACTCATATATTAGTTGTCTTTCCACAATACTGTACAAGTTTGATCCTACCTCAGATTATTATTATTACAATAAAGTCTAAGCGCTAACCTGAGCTCAGAATACAGTATTATTATAAGTACACTTCCACCCCCGGGATACCACCCACAACAGTCTATTTATAGCTAAGAGAACAGGAGTAACTGATCTAAGGTGACTCGCTTTGCCTTGGAATGGAACCCGGGTACCTTGGATTAAGCCGAGTGCTGTACCGTTGAGGTGCAGGTCACTTGGTGTACCACTGTGTTTCTTGCTCAGACACAAGTATGTCTGGTGAGATCCAGTCATGAGAAGACAAGTTTCTATCTTTTACTGCTTCTTGCACACTTGATCGCTCCTTCAGGCAGCTCTCAATATTTTTTCCCCCTTGCGTGCTTGTTACTGTGGTCAGTAATGGAGAAAACACAGGAACTGAGTAACTTTTACTGTGGCAGAGCTTTATTGTGTAAAGCCTTATCTTTGACCTACTAAAGCTCTTCTACACAGAGCAAACGTCATCACAGAAGCTTATTGTGCAATTATTTGTCACGAGGGAGAGGACCTAGTAGCGATCAGTGAAGAGGCGGGGCCAGGAGCTGAGTCTCGACCCCTGCAACCACAATTAGGTAAGTACAATTAGGTGAGTACACTGAGGGCAGTGCGCCTTAAATCCATTGTGATCGCTCAAAGGGTTTTCTTTAAAATTTAAGCATTAGTGTATGTGAATTCTTTCATGTTTATAGAGTTTTTAAATTTACAGAGTTGAGTGAAGGCTTACTGCAGAGCTTGATGCCAGAGTCGTCTGATAGCTCGTTTCCTCATCCCATATAATATTTTCTTTTATAACTTGAGAAGGTCTCACGAGTCTTCAACAAGACTGCTGAAAGACCTCACTGAGAGTAGTGTTCTATAATTTCCATCAAGCCGACGCCTCTTATGATGTTAATGGTTAGGTAAGACACATATGCAACAGTTAGGTATCTTTATTTCGAAAAGTTTCGCCTACACAGTAGGCTTCTTCAGTCGAGTACAGACAAGTTGATAGAAGCAGAAGATACTTGAAGACGATGTAATCAGTCCATCACCCTTAAAGATACCTAACTGTTGCATATGTGTCTTACCTAACAATCTGTCGGTATTTTATACCATTTTAATGTTCATGATGTTAATGGGTTAAAAAACCGACAAGTTGAAGAATGAGACACTTCTGTAACATTTGGGAATCTTTACTGAGGAAACGTTTCGTCAGCCAGTGGCTTCTTTAGTCCAATATATAGAAGGACGATGGAAGATGAGCAGCTTGAGGTAATCAGTCCCTCAGCTTGGAGTCGATTCAAGGTTAAGGAATGATTACCTCAAATTATTCCTTTATTACAAGATACTATTTGGTGAAGTTGGACTTAGTGGTAAGAGTCACGGCTTCCATTACTAAGGATCAAATTTCCCCGGCCAGATTTTTTTTTATACCAACTCGCATTGCCCAG